GGCAGTGTGGGCAGTGGAGGCGAGTGCGGTGGGTGTAGGTTGGTGCTTCACGCACTGGTTCGCCAGTCTCTGTGCGATGGATTCGCAAGTGACCGACCAGGCCGATGTGTGAGGTGAAGAAGGTACGGTCGCAGTGAGGGCAGGTGTAGTACTGATCCTCATCCCTGGAGTCGGGGGAGGTGGTGGTAGTGTCGGTTGCTTTGCGCGGGACAGTCGCCTGAGCGGCCGCCGTTGGAGCAGTGCGCGAGGAGGAGGATGATGGAAGTGGTGGGTCAGAAGAATTGTCAGGGTTAGTTGGCGGCGGAGAGGAGGAGGAAGAGGCAGGCGTGGGGACGATGGTTGGTGCCGTTCGAGAGGCGTAGTTAATCCGAAGATGTCCAACAAGTCCCATTCGAGCCCGGAATGTCCGTTGACATCGAGGACACGTTGGAAGCGGTTGTGCGGCGGCGTTGCTTACTGGGCGAAGTTGTGATTTGCGGGCTTCACGTTTCGCTTTGGCGGCAGCGATGCGGTTGGCTTCGTAGATCGCAGCGCCTGTCTTAATTGTCCTCCTCCAGGTCGGTCGATCGAGTGCGAGCTCCTCCCAGTTGGTGGGGTTGATTTGCAGGCATTTCAGGGAGGACTTCAGGGTATCCTTGTAACGGCGAATCTGGCCTCCTTGACGGCGAGAACCCGTCGCGACGTCTCCGTAGAAGAGTTGTTTGGGTAGTCGCTCGTCGTCCATGCGCACCAGGTGGCCGCTCCAGCGCAGCTGAATTTGCCTCAGTATGGTGTGGGATGTCTTAGACAGGAACAGATACCATGTCAGTCACTGCGTACATTCTCATTCGACTTGACTCAGACAGGCCGCTGGTGCACAGGAGAGGGAGTGGGAGGTGCAGCGCTTACGTCTTGAAGAAGGAGACACGATCGCTGGGACAAGAGCTTTCTTAGCCTGACGTTTCGGATTCCTGCTCGAACCGATCCTCAGAGACAAAGCAGATACAGGTGGTTCATGCATAAGGGGCTGCAGTGTTTATAGAATGCAATAACCATGCTACCGCATACCTATGAATATTCGCGGCGTCCTATAAATACTGCAGCCTCTTATGCATGAACCACCCGTATCTGCTTTGTCCCTGATGATGGGTTCGAGCAGGAATCTGAAACGTCAGGCTAATAAAACTCTTGTCCCGGAGATCGTATCTCCTTCTTTAAGACTGCTTCCTGGGACTCGTCTCTTCGCCTCTATTGGCAGGGCTTGCTTCCTCATCATCAACACAAAATGTGCTTTTTAACTATCACGACGCGTCAGCAGTTTTGATTAGAATGTTGGTTAACAACGCAACAATTTGCTTCTAATCAATACTTATGATCAGACTTCGGTGGTTCCTTCTTAAAGTGACCTTCGCGGTACTCTCGCTGTGGCGGCTCAGAGAGGGCCTTTAGATGATACCCAGTACATGTGGAGTTATTAGGCATGTCCTACCCGGCATGCGTGAATGGGCTGCCCAACTCCGACATTGCACTGCGTTCGTGCATGACTTTGCGTTGTCGTCTGCACACAGTGGGCATGGAATGGGAAAGTGTGGTAGATGGAGTGCTAGGCCGCCGGCAAGTAACGAGTGTGGAGAAGTGGCGGACAAAATAGGTGAAGTGGGCACCGAAGTGAATTTGTCTCAAATTCGAAACTGTCTTAGGCTTAGAATTTGTCTAATCTTCCTGGCCAAATATTGAATAACCTCACAAAACTACGAGAGGATGCATATCTCAAGTATTTGTCTCGTTGAAATCCGGAAAAAGAATCGAGACGAGGGGTTAGTTTCGGAACCTATACTGTTTGTTTCCTTAAGTTATGCCTATCTTTACTGACGAGTTCGGAAAGCAGTCCGAAAAGACCGTCTAGTAAATTATTCCCACCTTCTTTCGGTGGGAAATTTATCCTCCTCACTCCTAACATAAAGCAGTTAGTCGGTCATACAGTTTCTAAATAGCTTCGGAGATTTATGCAAACATCTAACCTGAGATATCTCATAGCTTAGGCGTACCACCTAAGTGCTGTTCGCGTCCGTCTTTTGGCAGCCGATGATCTGATCAGCATGCTGAAAATACTGTTTTTTATACTGGCTACACAAACATGTCTCAGAAGTCCACACAAATGCTGCACCGACTTTCTACAGCAACGTATGCAACTACCAGGCGTTTGGATCATCAAGAAGCGGGCTCAGATTTAAACGTAGCACAATACTATCCGGAAACTTCCAATGTCAGCAGGAAAACAAAACATATACAGCCGCATAGGCTTGCTTTAGGAAAGAACAAAAGATGATTCATTTTGGGGAAGAAGTAAAGCAAACTACCTTGTCGTGGTTCGGAATGCCTGGAAGTCAGCCTTACGACAGCTGTAGGCACCTTGTTTGCTGGTTCCTCCCCAGGTTTTGATTCATGTCCCGCAGTGGTGGACAGCAGGCAACTAACTAAGAGTTCAATTGCTATAGAGAAACACATAGACGGGAAATGTTTGCTGTCCGACGAACGTTGACTGCCGATCTGGCGAATTTACTGCAGATAATTGGGCTGGTTGCTACTGCATCTACTGACGACCGTAGAGCATCTGGCGCGTCTACCCAGAACTGACACTCTTAGAGGGGAGTATATCTTGTCTGAATGAATTAGCTGACGACAACACGTTGCTGAGAATGATTGCTTTAATTTAGGTCTCCTAAGATTGGGGGTATATATTTTCTCTTTCGATGTCACCCTGAATGCCCTTAAAGTATTTCATGTGCCTAAATTACAGAACTCATGTTTCAGTGGTAAAAAAGAAAAGGGGAACATTTCTGCGGTCTCTGGACGACACATGGCATACTGCAGCACAAAGTGAACACAACCCGGGACTTTGTGTATTAGGAAAGTTAAATAAGCCTTAACTTTCTGCTTGTTTGAATCACGGACTAGTAAAAGTGCATGGTAATTCGCGTACGTGCATATGTCAGATCACAAGTCTAGGATGTGCTGTTAGCTGGTTCCATGTAATATATGTGAGCAAAGTCCCCAAATAATTCAGATATTCAGAAGGCCTGTACTGGAAACATCAGAAACATGCCTTCACGACCACTATTGATCACTGCAATTACAGATTACCCCGCTGTGTACATACTGCTGACTAATGACGCAAAGGGCGGACTTTATGCCAAAATCCGACGCAAGCATATATGCCAATGCATGCCAGCAGGTCTGCGCACATGTGCGACGAGAGGGCCAAAACGCCACGACTGCTGCTTTTGCAGTCCGCAAATGACGCGTGGCAATCGATAAATCGGCGCATAGATTGCCACATGGTGTGCCCGCGAGTACGTCTGCGTGTACTGATGTCAAAACTGAAGGGGACGTAGTTGAGGCTAGCCCGGCACGAGGAGATAAGGCGAAGAGTGAAGTGAGCCGACCGGCAGTACCACCGGCTAACGACTGCGAAAACGTCCACACCGTTCGCCGGCATTCAGAGCACAGATTAACCTGGTTGGACGCTTTGGAGCTAACGACCTGTAGGATACCTTGCTTACTGCAGCAGAAACGTCCTCGAAACACAGAGAATACCCATTACCAACGTGAACATATGGCCAACATGTCCCAGTTGCGGTCGCACATTCGAATAATATGGGGGCCTGGCTGGTCACCAGCTGTTCTGTTATAGGACAGTCGGTCAGCCAGACCAGCACTTATCGGCCAACATGAGCCATGTGCGCCTGACCTGCCCACACCGTCCCAGCACACTCAGATGTCGCATGAGCATCCTCATCATATACAACACACGAGCTTTGTAATGTCGGACACTACGTCCAAGCTCATTCGGGTTAACTCGCATAGATCACTAGTGTATGGGAAGTGTGGTCGGTGGACACTTGGTTCCTCATCATAAGCAAAAAACGACCTTTGTAACTATCACGATACGCCAACAGTCTTGTCTTAGGAGATCGCTAAATGACGGAATGATTCGTTTCTTATCAGTACTGATGGTCAACCTGCAGCGATTCCTTCACAACGTGGTCTTCATCGTACCGCCACTGCGTGAATTCCGAGGCAGCCTTCCGATCAAATCTGTTATGTGTAGAGTCAGTAGCAGTTGTTCTGTTCCACACGCGTAGACGGGCTGCTCAGGCCTGTAATTCACCGCGCCCATGGCCTTTTGAATACGCGTGTATGGGGTGAGGTTGATTGTGCGTAAGACGTGGATGTTGGTGGAACCCGTCACTCGCGGCGATGGGATCATAGTGTGCACACGCGTTCGAGGGAGTATGGGCGCCGTGTCGTGGACCTGCAGGTTGCCTACGGGCGATTGGGGTGAAATTCAAAATAACTCCATCCTCCTCCATCTTATTCTTTTCCCCACCCCTCTTCTTCTTCATCATCATCATCTTCTTCTTCTTATTCTTGCTCCTCCTCCACTTCTCCTTCTCCTCCCCCATCACCGCCACCACCTCCAGCTACACGACCACCGCCATCTCATTCCCCTCCTGAAGTTTTATACCACCACACACCGGGATACCGACTCAGAGGATCTTAGACTGGAGCTCAAAAACCAAACTGAATGGTCATATTACTTCCAGAAATCTGCAGAGATGGGCAGACGCAAACCCCATCGTCTGGCTATCCCTACGGAATGCAGTGTAGGTAAGCTGGAAATCTAAGTCGTCGTGTTCAAATGTAGAATTCACCAAGGGCTAAACGTGAAGAGTTCAGAAGATTTCCTAAAGCCATTGGCGGTCTCTGGGCCGCGGACCCATTTTGAGGTTCCTAGATGAGAAGCAGTAGTCCGGATAAAACAGCTTCTTAGTGCCGCCGTCACCACCAAGAACTCCTTCAATGGCGAGCGTCTGCGCGTATTTTAGTGATTACCGAGGAGAAAACGAGCCGCCTGAATATACAGCAAATGCTCGCATCAGACGACTTCCGTGCTCAAATACGGGCAGCTCATGTGGGTATAACTCCTGCAAAACAAAATCCAGCCAAATTACACAAATTTAAAGCATTTTATACGGAGGAATTAAAGGGCCGCGCAACAGAACGGAGTTAAGAGATATGTCAAGGAAATGACAAAGGCTTTCCCAGAACGAGCACTTGTGGGTATAACTCCTGCGTAGGTGCTGTGGATTTCCGTCCGCTCTCGTACCTCCGTGACTGGGATCAGGTCCTGCCACCTCAGCTTCTGTATCCGTCGAAAACAGCTGAGGTGGAAGTGATTGAGTCTCCGCGCCTGATTCTTGTATACCGTCCAGGTCTCTGCTCCGTACAGCAGCGTCCACAGGAAGACCGCTTTGTACATCTTCAGTTTGGTGTAGACCGTGGCGATTGCAAACTGTGATTTCCAGACGGCCGAATACTCGGCTGGCTTTGGAAATCCGGTGGACCACTTTATCGTCGATTTTAGTGTTGTGACAAAGGGTCCAGTCCAGGTATGTGCAGCTGTCCACGACCAGCCGTTGCGCGCCGATTACATTGCCTTGGTGCGCGACGTAGACAGCATCGGGTGGCGGTTCTTGCATGACCACTGTTTTCTCCGTGTTGATGACCTGGCCGGAGTTGTCGCAGGCGGCGACGACGAGGATATCCATGCTCCTTTGCACGTCCCCTTCAGAGGTGGCCTTCAGTGTGCAGTCGTCGGCAAAGCAAAGTTCGTACACGGCCAATGTGAATACACCCGACTGAAAGTGCATCCGCCGGTGGTTGAGGAGTTGGCTGTCTGACCTGTGGGCGATACGGAACCCGCGGCGTCCGTCACGGTAGGCGTCCATTAGCATGGCAGTGAAGAGGAGACTGGAGAGGGCAGGAGCGAGGAAGCAGCCCTGCTTCACTCCGTCGGTCACTACGAATGCCTCCGAGACAGTTCTGTTGACCGTAACCCACGCCATCATGTCATCATAGAGCTGACGCACACGCGCAGCCGCTGTTGCACAAGGCGGCGATTACGGTGGAAGACTGCTTTCTATCAGTGGGGCAGGTGAGGTATGATTTGTGCTGTTGGTTCTTCTCGGTGAGTAGGTTGCTGATGGCGGCTTAGTTGTCATCGAACAAGTGTTGATGTTGGCGACACACGCGAACGAAAACAGCCGGGGTCTTCGACTGGAGTGTGTCCCGCAGTTGACACCACCGGTTCTCCACGGAGGCATTCTCGTCGGCTGCGGCGGCGACTGGAATGCTGACAAGCCGTTGAGCTAGTTCATTGCTGAAATGAGGATGGTGAGCAGGCAAAGACAACAAAGCAATATTCAGCTTACCTGAGCGTCGCATACTTTGTGCTCTCTTGCGAGGCTCTAGGCGAATCAGCATCTTGGAGATGACGAGACGATGGTCGGTCCACTAATCGGCACTCGGAATCGTCTCTCTCACCAGCACGTCCCGCTGGTCCCGCCTCCGGACGAGGACATAAACCAGCAGGCGCCAGTGTCGCAACCGAGGCTGCATACGAGTAGCCTCCTCTCGCATCGAAAGACGGAAGGTGTTGGTCAGGATGAGACAGTGTTCTGCGCGGGTTCGTAGGAGGAGCAGGCCATTAACATTGAAGCCGTCGAGACCATGGGGACCCAGCACTCCTCTCCAGGCAGCATGGTCTGACCTCGCACGGCCATTGAAGTCACCAAGGACATTCGACTTATCCGCTTTCGGCACATACGCCAGGAGTGCGTGCAGGATCTAGTAGAATCTGTCCCTTGCAGCGCAAGGGCTGGTCATCGGGGTGTCGTAGACAGGATGAAGAGCATTCCCGTCAAATGTCGGGCAAACGTCGAGGATTTTGTGGCTTCTCTCGTGCAGTAATGACAACATGATCATGCTACGTGCGAGGCGCCTCACAAAAAGCGTTATTTTGAGAAGTTTGAAAGGTACAACAACGCTTGGTAAATAAAGGCCTAATTAACTGGCATTGGTAGAGTACGCGCATCAAGAAGGTGGTGAAACTCGACTTGAATTCCGACTGCCATTCCAAGTTCTGTACGCTGCAAAATCCAGCCACGTTAGACTGTAAAGAACTGGTGGTTAGGCGCACTACTCAAAATTATGTGAGTTACGCTGATTTGTATGTATTTTGCGTGTTATTAATCAAATGAGTCAACTAAGGCAGGCTCAGAAAAGAAGAAATTCAAAGTGCAGCACGCCGCCAACCGTAGTGAACGACTCACCGATGACAGTGACTGTATTATTGAGGAGACTTGAACGTCTCTAAGAGAAATTAGAACTAGGGATCATCCCTGTTGAAGTGTCTTCTAATACAGCAGGACCTAAAAAGTCTGACTAGAAGGCTCCAGATGGCGCCTTGTTAGGTTGCGCATGCACTGCAACAGTTGATAGAGGAAGATGCACCAATTCCGCTATCCGTGTTGTCGGTTAAGATGGCAAATCTACTCCACTCCACTTCCACCACCCAATGCTCATCGCAGGGTGTCTGCCATCTCGCCAAATGCATGTACCTGATGATGATGGTAAATAGGCAGGACCTCCTACATCATTCACGTTGCCTTACGTCGGAAGAGTCTGTGAGGGCACGTAACGCATAATCCACGAGTTAAAGATCTGCGTCGCACACCGATCTGTCTTCAGAATGAGCGGCAACCGCATGCCTAGCAAGGACAAACTAGACCCAGATTAGCATTTTGGTGTTATCTGGTGCCTTCCGTTCGCTCGCTGTCAGTGCGACCACAGAGGTCAACGGAGCTAAACTACAGGCTGGGTTGAGCGAACAGAAGACGGCCGGTCGGGTGGAGACCCATCTATCGCTCCTTCTATTACGTTGGCACGTCTCTAATCGAGTCTGTGGCAAGACAGCAAGCAAGGTGAGAACATCAGGTAGTAAATCAAAAGCATCTGTTCCAAATTCCCCCTCGCTTACTAAGCGCTGGCAGCCAGGCTGAATTACGCTGCCCATCGCATGACCAATGACTGCCACCAAGACCGAGGTGACCATTCGGGGAGTGAGCCAAGGTGGAGCTGCTTGGCTACTCTGCTCCATTAAACTATCTGTTCTGTGCCTCCCCCGCAGGTGTTTCTAATAATGAACTTGAGAGCCAGCACGGAAGCTGCGGTCAGTAAGGCTTTCTTCCCACTGCTCGAAATCTCCTCCTCCTCCTCATCTAAATGCGAGGACTTTTCAGGTGTTCATGTCTTCTCAACCTTACGACCTTTAATCTTCTAGAATGCGCATACTATTGAGTACACTCTCTATCCTCCTAGTATACAAATAAATCTGGCCTAGAATGAATCCGTCTATAATCGAAGTTAAATGTGGAAGATGTTTTGACGCAGAAACTGCAAGTCGTTAGAAGAGGGACTTTTATCCCAGAATATTTCCACATCGACATTTCCAAACGGTGGCTTACTCAGTATATTGTCCCTAACCGCGCAACAACTCCACTCAACCAGTGCAGCTTGTTCACACCTGCATCCAATTTACGCTAGGAGGCAGCTAAGTTTTCCCGCACCACTAATGGCCGCCGAAGCACCGCCTTCTCTGTTTCAGCAGTGGGAGGCACCATGCACGTACAAGCACATGACCGCCTACCTCATCGTCACTCGCTTGCTATCCTCCATTGCGCCAAAGAACTACTTCACTTCATCCCAGACGCGCTGGCTGAAGCCCAGTCGATCTGTCGCAGAAAATAACTCCTTCCTTTTGTTGTCCTCCATCTCCAGCCTACCAGAATTTAGGCTGTGACATCAGTGGTTAACGCACACCCGCCTTGATCTCACCAACAGGACGGCTATCACAGGTGTCTGGGATAGGAGAGGGGGGAGGAGGCTGTGAATGTTCATTCAGCTGTTCAAAAGGCTTTACTCCTACACATAAGTTGGCCTTGTTAGTTCAGTCTTCAGGGTATGAGTTTTGGCCTCTGGGCATTGCATGGCAGATTTTCGTTCTATACACATAGATGTATGTTTCCCCTTGGCTAGTCCTTGGGTCTGACTAGACTTCAGGCCAGCCGCAATTTGGCTGCGACAGCTGCCTTCCCCCTGTCTCATCAGATTCAAAAGCAGGGACTAACTCAAGGTACTGTTGTTCAACGAACCCTCCCAACATTTTAACATGTCCTCCTGTGACTTTCCACTGTTCATTTGTTTGTGAACATGAGATGAATTGCTCTTCTATTTATTTTGATCGTTTCACTGTTTCCTAGGCGCCGGTCGAGGAGCTTGCCGGGATGTGGCAGCGAGTCCGCACCTATACTCGGGGAGCCACAAATGGGAGTTGGATTCCAGCTTAGGACCGTGGGGAACAGTCACCATTTGCATGGTACGACCTCCCATCCATGCACCGGTGTCCCTAACTGGACACCCCCACACCCTGTGGGGAATCACATTTCGCCGATCACCCACTAGTCCACCAGAGAGGGTGAAGCCAGAGACAACAGCAATTTGGATCTTATTAGACCGTGACAACTGACGCTTCGTTGTGTTGACATTTCGTCCAGTACCGTTTGATTCACTGACATACGAATTGTCACCCAGTCAAAACAATACCGTCTTCTTTTATCAAAGCAATAAACTACAGCTTCTGCGGCCGTTTTTCAGCCGCTTGCTCGGCTTCGCATATGAAACACGTTGGTTGAGCTTCTGAACATCTGCTGTCGCTTGATGATGCGTTTCCGCCGCTTTCTCAAAATTCTTGACAGCCCTTTACACACCCAGTATGGTTATATCGTCCCCTTTGCTTTCCAGTGGAATCTGAGGTTATAGAGCAAAAATAGGCAGATTTCTTCACTTGGCGTCAACGCAACTGATTCCGCCTGCACTGGTCAAAGTTAGCACGTTCACGAATAAGAAAGCGAAGCATCTGCAGCTGTGACAAATGTGGCCTCAATGACAGTTCGATCTTCGTGACCGAAGATGTCCCCCATGTGCTCGACAACTGGGTGAGAACAGAGACGGTGACTTGCGCGTGATAGTAGACGTGCGCAGCATCTACCGCACTCTCTCCTCGGTGTCAGAACCGGAGGCGGTAGAGAACGCAGGTGGCTGGCGGGGTGTAAACCCGCACCTATACATACCACAACATACCCCGGTCCGCAACGGACACTGACCAGGACTTTTTACAACAACAAGAAGGGCGGAAGTGTGGCTTGGATCTTGCTTTTACGACATTGCCCCTGTGATCACACTTAGAAGGAGGCATTGAGCGTGACTCTTAGTCCACCAGTCTGCTACTCTGCACCCACACGGGACTAACTCTTTTGAATCGTCAGTTGGCAACCTTCCAAGCCACGGTCTTTAGCGCACTGTGATAGCTTCAAGTGCATCAGTTTGTTTATAGTGAGGAAAATACGTTGAGACGTCGACCTCATTCTCTATTCCCATTCCCAGGCCCCACCCACTATCCAAGCCGGCCAGTTGTCTGGCGCGCGGAATGGACGCAATGTTCACGCCCACGCATTCATCTGAAGTAAATGATTCAGGTGAGAAGGCCAAGTTTTCTGCCCAATTGAAAATAAACGAGCGCAAGACACGAGGCACATGTGACCGTGTTTTTATAGATGGCACATGAAGTTGGCTGTGGTACTTTTTGTAGCAACAACAGTTGTTATCTGGGTAAGCAATGTCTACCAAAAAAACTATGCAGAACACCTGCAGTTAAGCTGTCAACAAAGTGTACTTTGAAATAGCCTGTCCAAAGCCGTCCATCTCCAGGCCCGCAGGCAACGGCGTTCCGGTTATTTTTAGAAGACACGAGTCTGTACTTCTTTTTAACAGGTCACTGGGTGAACTGCCAATTCCCAGAATGATCGCGGCTGTTTGACCTTAGCACGCCGCTCGGCCCCAGCTTGGCCTGGGACTTTTCCTTCTGCATCTTATGCGGATGGGGGCAGAGTAAGACCTCGGGCTAATTGAATCTTTTCGGTCAGAGTGGGCGTTCGTAAGTGTTTTCTTATCCAACGAGGTTGCAGATGCCTTGGCACATTTTGTGAGGACTTTAAGGGGAGTGCTTATCAATTAAGAAACTATGAACAACAGCTGACCAGCTTACTACAAAACCGCAAACGAAAGCCTCTTTATCGATATTCTACGCCCACTGCAATTACTGACCGCAGTCCATATTCCAAAATAAGGATTTAACTTGCTGTTTTTTAGTCTAATTTGTAGCCTTCCTGTGAATGTTGCTGTTAGTTTACACAAATACATATACCAGATTCTGAAGGAAAAATGCACATCCGCTTCGAGGACAAAGTGGACGACTTATATGCTGGACTCGCTTTACAGAGACGAAGGACCACGGACAGAAGAACAGTGGGCTTCCTCTCGCGCCCACGGGTGGCATTCAGACGGTCGATAAAACGCCACAGAGTGAGCATTTCGCAACCAGCACGTTCAATGCTAGCTGACTACATCCGATTTTTGTGATTTTATGTGTGGCTATGAAGGTTTACATCCCACTTTACCTAAACAGTAGATAGACTTCACAACGCAGAAGGACTATGTGTGGCTGTTGAACTCAAAATGGAGTCAATATTCTCTGGCAGCCGAGAACCATGACTGAAATCTGGGTTAGATCGCAGTTGGTAGCCAGGAATGGGGAGGCGGAGGGCCAGGTTCCTGTCGTACGGGAATGGTGGGAAATGGGGTTATATGGGTGGGGTAGACGAATGCATGGGATTCAGGGTAAACGTAAAGTTACCATGAAAAGTGTTGGAAAGTTTTGAGTAGGTGGAATAATGACAGAAATTTAAACCGTACGCTTAACCCTAAAACTCAACCCTGACCACAAAGGGAAAGCCTAACCCTATGCGCCAAAACCGAAAAGTAACCAAATCCTAAAACCCAACGCTAACCCAAAACCTAGCCATAGCACTAACACAAAACTTGACCATAAACCTAAAATTAACCCTAACACTAACCCCGAAACAAACCCTAAACTTAACCCTAACCCTAAACTTAACCCTTAACCTAACGTTAAACATAACCCTAACGATAAAGATAAGTCTAACCCTAAACCTAAACGTAACCCTAAAGCCTAACCTTAATCCTAAAATTAATCCTAACCCTAGCCATAAACCTAACCCTTAAACCTAACCCTAAATCTAACCATAAGCCTAACCTTAACCCTAAAATTAACCCTAATCCTAACCTTAAGCCTAATCCTAAACCTAACACTTGACTTAAGCCTAACCCTAAACCTAACCTTAACTCTACCACTTACCACAAACCTAAACGTAACCCAAACACTAACCTCGAACCTAACCCTAAAAATAAAATGAAACTTAACACTAAACCTAACCTTAAACTTAGCCCTAAACCTAATGCTAAACCTAGGCCCAACCCTAACCCCAAACATAACGCTAACCAAAAATTAACACTAACTATAAGTCTAAGCCTAAACTTAAGACTAACCCCAAAGCTAACGCTAACCCTAAAGATAAGCCCAACCCTAACCTTAACCCTTAAACTAAACTTAAGCATAATCATAGTCCTAAACTTAACTCTAACTCTAAACTTGACCCTAATCCTATCCTTGACCCTAAACCTAACCTTAATCCTAAACTTAAATCTAACCCTAACCATAAGCATAACCCTAACCCTTAACTTTACCCTAACCCTAACCATAAGCCTAAGCCTAACGCTAATCCTAAACTTAAGCCTGACCTAACCTTAACGCTAACCCTAACCTTCAGCCTAACCCTAACCCCACAATTAACCCTAACCCCAACCTTGACCTTAACCGCATCCCTAACGCTAAACTAAACCCTAACCCTAACACTGAAACCTGACCCTAAAACGCAAACCCTAATCCTAAAACTTAACCTACGCCTAACCCTAACTTTCACTAAACCTACCAGCCTGACCTAAACGGGCGACCGGTCTAACTCAGTAAGAGAACACCTACTGATAACAAGTATCCTTGACAAAGTAAGTCCACTTACTGATAACAAGTACGTACGTTGAAAGTATCACCGTATGATGTCTAGCTACCAACTGCGAGCTCACCGAAATCTGTCTGGTTACGTAGCAGTATCGGCATTTGTGACAAACGAAAGACAGGGCAATTTGCTGATCCAAACTTTGCGTCCAATTTCGTCTCCAGTCGATGTGACATAGTTTACCGCTATTACATACTGGGTGGTGGATAGAAACGTGAGGCTGGTGTAGATTTCTGCTCCTGTCTTCGCTGCCGTTCTCAAGGCCGGTCGATCATGGGTGTGGTCATCTCAGGTCTCCGGTCTTATTAGTAAATCTCTAAGACAGGCCCACAGGGTATCCTTATAGCGTCGCTTTTGTCCTCCTTGTCAGTAAACATCCTCAGTAACGTCGCCGTAGAAGTGTAGGCTGGGCGAGTGTTGTTGTCCATCCTCGCTAGATGGCCTCTTCAGTGAAGTTGCATTTGCCCCGGTCCGCTCTACGACTTCGGTTTCGGGATCCTGTCTGCCACCTCAGCCTTCGTATTCTCTGAAGGCATCTGAGGTGGAAGTGATTCAGTTTCCTGGCGTGATTAGCGTAGACCATCCATGTCTCTACCCCTTAGAGAAGAGCCTTCAGGATTACCGCTCTGTGCATCTTAAATATGGCGTTGGGATGAAAACCGCGGCGATTCCAGACTGAGGCCCGTACCCGGCCCCCGCCTGGCTGGCTGTGAAGATCCGGAGGGTCACTTTGTCGTCTAACTTGATATTACGTGTGATTATACTTTCTAGGTATACGAAGTTATCCAGAGCGGTGAGTTAAGGTCTATTGAAGTTGTTTTGACGTTCGTTGTTGTCCACGTTTGGTCCCGACTGATGCACTGTTGCGAACTCGAAGTTCACGATCGCCAATCCCAGACTATGGATATCAGGACAAGGTAGGAGTTACGAAAGAATTAATAAATAAGTGTCAAATGACCTGATAGTCCAACATATGCCACGCGCATCGCGTTGAGCCGAGTTCCGTCCATTCAGATAAACAGACCGTAAGTTCAAGAATGATGAACGAGTAGGTAAAGGCAAGATAGTCTGGTGCCTCGGCACAGTACTCGCCTCCGAGACCGGAGGGCGACGAACACGACGCCGAAGGATGTGTACAATTCTAAAAGAAATGAGTGACCAACCGATCAGGAAAGTGAACATGACGACCACTGCGAGTGATATATACAGGGTCCGTCGAAGAGTGGATACGTCCTGTGGCGGAAGTGTTGGATTTAGAGGTAGCAGTTGGAGTTAGCGGACAGGGAGGGGATAAAAATAGGGGATGACAGAATACAGGCTAGAGGAGGTGGTGGAGTAGAGGGTAGGAGACCAAAAGGGCTCGTCCGACGGAAAGTCCAGGACAGATGCCTTGAGGCCGTCCACACACATGATCTCCTCACGATTGGTGCGTTGTACGCGGAACATCTTCACCCCTCCAGAGAGGGCTCAGGATGAGCCGTCCTAGGGCGGTTCCAGAGGCCGGTGGACTCAATCAAATTGAAGGTAGACGTGAGAGCACGTTACCAAGTCCTTCTCGAGATAAGACAAAGAGGCGGATGACCTGTGTGGAACCCGAGGAAGTGTCCGCACAAACTGCCGGAGGTGGTGCAGAAGGTTGGTGGGATCCTCGACCGCGCTATGAGGATTTGACGAGATCATCTCACCAGGAAGTCGGACTGTGACGCCGAAGACCAGCTGAGCTGCAGAACAGTCAAGGTCTGGCCTCAGAGCGGAGCAGATACCCAAAAGGACCAGGGGAGGATGGTCTGTTAGATTCTCCGCATCAACCGCAGCGCGTAGGGAGATTTTCAACTGGCAGTGAAACCGCTCGACCATCAAATTGGTAGCCGGGTGGAAGGCTGCCGTTCGGATGCGGGTACAGCCTAAAAACAAGGGGAGAGACAGGAAAAGGTTGGACTCAAACTGGGCACCGCGGTCAGTAGTGATAGTGGAGGGTGCACAAAAAATGGCAAAACAAAGGCTGACGAAAGATCTAACCACCGTTAGAGCAGACAATGTCCGGCAGGAGGGTAACACCAGGTCACCAGCTGAACCACTCCACACAGATAAGGAGATAGGAGCAACCATCGGACAGAGGCAGGGGACCTACACTGTCCAGGTGAACCCATGAAACGTCCATGATTTTAGATGAGGAGGAGGAGATTTTGAGCAGTGGGAAGAAAGCTTTACTGACTGCAGCTTCCGTGCTGGCTCTCAAGTTCATTATTAGAAACACCTGCGGGGGAGGCACAGAACAGATAGTTTAATGGAGCAGAGTAGCCAAGCAGCTCCACCTTGGCTCACTCCCCGAATGGTCACCTCGGTCTTGGTGGCAGTCATTGGTCATGCGATGGGCAGCGTAATTCAGCCTGGCTGCCAGCGCTTAGTAAGCGAGGGGGAATTTAGAACAGATGTTTTTGATTTACTACCTGATGTTCTCACCTTGCTGGCTGTCTTGCCACAGACTCGATTAGAGACGTGCCAACGTAATAGAAGGAGCGATAGATGGGTCTCCCCCCGACCGGCCGTCTTCTGTTCGCTCAACCCAGCCTGTAGTTTAGCTCCGTTTGACCTCTGTGGTCGCATTGACAGCGAGCGAACGGAAGGCACCAGATAACACCAAAATGCTAATCTGGGTCTAGTTTGTCCTTGCTAGGCATGCGGTTGCCGCGCATTCTGAAGACAGATCGGTGTGCGACGCAGATCTTTAACTCGTGGATTATGCGTTACGTGCCCTCACAGACTCTTCCGACGTAAGGCAACGTGAATGATGTAGGAGGTCCTGCCTATTTACCATCATCATCAGGTACATGCATTTGGCGATATGGCAGACACCCTGCGATGAGCATTGGGTGGTGGAAGTGGAGTGGAGTAGATTTGCCATCTTAACCGACAACACGGATAGCGGAATTGGTGCATCTTCCTCTATCAACTGTTGCAGTGCATGCGCAGCCTAACAGGGGACTATCTGGAGCCTTCTAGTCAGACTTTTTAGGTCCTGTTGTATTAGAAGACACTTCAACAGGGATGATCCCTAGTTCTAATTTCTCTGAGAGACGTTCAAGTCTCCTCAATAATACAGTCACTGTCATCGGTGAGTCGTTCACTACGGTTGGCGGCGTGCTGCACTTTGAATTTCTTCTTTTCTGAGCCTGCCTTAGTTGACTCATTTGCTTAATAACACGCAAAATACATACAAATCAGCGTAACTCACATAATTTTGAGTAGTGCGCCTAACCACCAGTTCTTTACAGTCTAACGTGGCTGGATTTGCAGCGCACAGAACTTGGAATGGCAATCGGAATTCAAGTCGAGTTTCACCGCCTTCTTGATGCGCGTACTCTACCAATGCCAGTTACTTAGGCGTTTATTTACCAAGCGTTGTTGTACCTTTCAAACTTCTCAAAATTACGTTTTTTTGTGAGGCGCCTCGCACGTAGCATGATCATGTTGTCATTACTGCACGAGAGAAGCCACAAAATCCTCGACGTTTGCCCCACATTTGACGGGAATGCTCTGCATCCTGTCTACGCCACCCCGATGACCAGCCCTTGCGCTGCAAGGGACAGATTCTACTAGGACCTGCACGCACTCCTGGCGTCTGTGCCGAAAGCGGATAAGTCGAATGTCCTTGGTGATTTCAATGGCCGTGCGGGGTCGGACCATGCTGCCTGGAGAGGAGTGCTGTGTACCCATGATCTCGACGGCTTCAATGACAATGATCTGCAACTCCTACGAACCCGCGCAGAACACCGCCTCATCCTGACCAACACCTTCCGTCTTCCGACGCGAGAGGAGGCTACCTTGATGCACCCTCGTTTGCGACACTGGCACCTGCTGGATTATGTCCTCGTCCGGAGGCGAGACCAGCGGGACGTGCTGGTGAGAGAGACGATCCCGAGTGCCGATTAGTGGACCGACCATCGTCTCGTCATCTCCAAGATGCTGATTCGCCTTCAACCTCGCAAGAGAGCACAAGGTATGCGACGCTCAGGTAAGCTGAATATTGCTTTGTTGTCTTTGCCTGCTCACCATCTTCATTTCAGCAATGAACTAGCTCAACGGCTAGCCAGCATTCGAGTCACCGCCACAGGCAATGCCGCCGACGAGAATGCTTCCGTGGAGAACCGGTGGTGTCAACTGCGGGACACACTCCAGTCGAAGACCCCGGCTGTTTTCGGTCGCGTGCGTCGCCAATATCAACACTTGTTCGATGACAACTAAGCCGCCATCAGCAACCTATTCACCGAGAAGAACCAGCAGCACAAATCATACCTCACCCGTCCCACTGACAAAAAAGCAGTCTTCCACCGTAGTCGCCGCCTTGTGCAACAGCGGCTGCGCGTGTGCGTCAGCTCTATGATGGCATGATGGCGTGGGTTACGGTCAACAGAACTGTCTCGGAGGCATTCGCAGTGACCGACGGAGTGAAGCAGGGCTGCTTCCTCGCTCCTGCCCTCTCCAGTCTCCTCTTCACTGTCATGCTAATGGACGCCTACCGTGACGGACGCCCTAGGGTCCGCATTGCCCACAGGACAGACAGCCAACTCCTCAACCACCAGCGGATGCACTTTCAGTCGAGTGTATTCACAGCGACCGTGTACGAACTTCCCTTCGCCGACGACTGCACACTGAAGGCCACCTCTGAAGGGGACCTGCAAAGGAGCATGGATATCCTCATCGCCGCCGCCTGCGACAACTCCGGCCAGGTCATCAACACGGAGAAAACAGTGGTCATTCAACAACCGCCACCCGACGCTGCGTACGTCGCGCCCCAAGGCAATGTAATCGTCGCCCATCTGAAAGTCGTAGACAACTTCGTATACGTGGGCACCAGCCTCTCTCGCAACACTAAAATCGACGATTAAGTGGCCCACCCGGTCTCCAAAGCCAGCCAAGTATTCGGCCGTCTGCAAATCACAGTTTGAAATCGCCACGGTCTACACCAAACTGATGATGTACAAAGCGGTCTTCCTGTGGACGCTGCTGTACGGAGCAGAGACCTGGACGGTATACAAGAATCAGGCGCGCAGACTCAATCACTTCCACCTCAGCTGTTTTCGACGGATACAGAAGCTGAGGTGGCAGGACCTGATCCCAGTCACGGATGTACGGGAGCGGACGGAAATCCACAGCACCTACGCCTTGTTGAGACGGCTACAACTGCTTTGGGGCGGCCATCTGGTGCGGATCGGTGGCGAGTCGAGATCTGAACGAATCTTCTGCGAAAATTTCGTTATGGGTTCCTACCGACATGGATACCAAGACCATCGCTACAATGACAATCTGAAGATCTCCCTGAAGCGTCTGCAGATCAGTGCATCCAACTGGGAAGACCTCGACCGAGACCGACAGACCTGGAGGGGTGGGTGAAAGCAGACGCAGCGGTCTACGAAGCTAACCGCATCGCCGCCGCTAAAGTCAAACGCAAGACTCGCAAATCTCAACTGCGCCCACCTCGCAACGCCAACGCTCTACCGCCGCCGAACTGACCACGCTTCTGCGGATGTTTCGAGCACCAATCGGCCTTATTGGACATCTTCGTACCAACTGCAGCATCCGGACTACACCGGCTGCTGTCTCCCCATCTAAATCTATCTCAACCCTCACACCGAAAACTAACACTGACCGCACTCATGAACCCCTATCACCATCATCCTCATTCTCCATTGCCTCAGCATCCGCTACGGCGGCTCCTGTACCCACCACCACTGCACACAATCCTGGCACACCATCAATCATCAACCTCCTCAGTGTCTACGCCAGCAATGTGAACTCGATCCATACCTGTCCTAATTGCGACCACACCTTTGCCTCACATATCGGTCTGCTCGGTCACTTACGAATCCATCGCACAGAGACTGGCTAACCAGTGCCTGTAGCACCAACCTACACTCGCGCCATTCCTCTTCACTGCCCACATAGCCCCCACAGATCCATTCATAGCATGGACCTATCCGGGCATATACGCAGTCGTCCTAGTGTTGTGTGTTTGCGTTGGGCGGCCGAATGGTTGTCTAATCGTCAGTTTGCATTGGCTCCTTCCTAATGTGGCATTTATGGCACTGCCACTCCGTGGAATCCGAGCCGGGGTGACCACATATCTAGGTGTGCTATCGGCCGCGTCAGCCCATTCTGTTGTTGTTAATTAAATCCTGGTCAAGTGTGTGCTGTCGACCAGGGAGTATGGAGTAGAGCGCCAGGGTGCGGGCCCGATATTGCCATCCACCTGCACCCCCCCCCGCCTCCAGTCTTCTCGACTATGTCCTGACACCGCGTCCAGGTGGGAGAGGAGGAGAGAGTGCGGTAGATGCAATGCAAGCCTACACTCACTATAAACTAAATCACGCACAAGCCCCCCTCCTGCCCTCTCCTTGCTGTGGAGCACACGGTGGACATCGTCGGCAATGACCGTCGCAGCATCGCATGTGCAAAACGAAGCAGACCACATATTCATTCCGATGGGCACACTTCGTCATCGTCACAGGCACTGTCGGTCCTCAGGATCCCAAGGCAATCATGCATAGCAGACGTCCATGATGCAGTTCATTAAATGATTGTCATCGGGTAAAGTGAAATCTGACTAGATCCAATCCCCGGAATGCGCATATGCAAATGGTCATATTTCCCTTGCTCACGTTGGTACCCAAACCTCAAAAAACTATAATCAGTTAGGGATAAAATAGTAGGATAGTAGTTCTCATGTCTTTGTACTTGGGCCGACGCCACATCGCTGATTGGAATAACATAGGGTTATGCAGTTGACGACACCTCGATCCGGGAAAGCCTTCGTTATCCCCTTGGCACATCTCTTACCTCCGTTCTGTTTCACGGCCCTTTAATTCCTCCGTGTTAAATCCTTTAAATTTGTGTAATTTGGTTGGATTTGGTTTTGCAGGAGTTATACCCACAATAACTGCCCGAATTTGAGCACGGAAGTCGTCTGATGCGAGCATTTGCTGTATATTCAGGTGGCTCGTGTTCTACTCCAGGATCACTAAAATACGCGCAGACGCTCGCCATTGAAGGAGTTCTTGGTGGTGACGGCGGCACTAAGAAGCTGTTTTATCCGGACTACTGCTTCTTACTAGGAACCTCAAAATGGGTCCGCGGCCCAGAGATCGCCAATGGCTTTAGGAAATCTTCTGAACTCTTCACGTTTCGCCCTTGGTGAATTCTGCTCTCGAAAACGGCGAATTCGATTTCCAGCATACCTACACTGCATTCCGTAGGGATAGCCATACGATGGGGTTTACATCTGCCCATCCCTGCAGATTGCTGGAAGTAATATGGACATACAGTTTTGTTTGTGAGCTCCAGCCTACGATTCTCCAAGTCGGTATCCCGGTGTGTGGTGGTGCAAAAATTCAGGAGGGGGATGAGATGGCGGTGGTCGTAGAGTTGAAGGAGGAGGAGGAGGAGGAGGAGGAGGAGGAGGAGGAGCAAGATTAAGAAGAAAAGAAGAAGACGAAGAAGAAGAAGAAGAAGAAGAAGAAGATGATGATGATGATGATGATGATGATGATGATGATGATGATGATGATGATGATGATGATGATGATGATGATGATGATGATGATGATGATGTATTTGAAGAAGGAGAAGAATAAGAAGCGGAAGAAGAAGACGGGTGGGGAGAAGAATAAGATGGAGGAGGAGGGAGTTATTTTGAATTTCACCCCAATGGCCCGTAGGCAACCGGTAGGTCCACGACACGGCGCCCATACTCACTCGAATGCGTGTGCACGCGATGATTCGATCGCCGCGAGTGGCGGGGTCCACCCACATCCAAGTCTAACGCACAATCTGCCTCACTCCATACACGCGTGTTCAAAAGGCCATTGGCTCGGTGAATTACAGGCCTGAGCAGCCCGTCTACGTGTGAGGAACAGAACAACTGCTACTGACTCTACACATATCACATTTCATCGGAAGGCTGCCTCGGAATTCACGCAGTGGCGGTACGATGAAGACCACGTTGGGAAGGAACTCCTGCAGGCTGACCATCAGTACTGATAAGAAACGAATCATTCCGTCATTTAGCGATCTTCCAAGACAAGCCTATTGGCGTATCGTGATAGTTACAAAGGTCGTTTTTTGTTTATGATGAGGAACCAAGCGCCGCCCGACCACACTTCCCATACACTAGTGATCTATGCGAGTCAACCCGAATGAGCTTGGACGTAGTGTCCGACATTACAAAGCTCGTGTGTTGTATATGATGAGGATGCTCATGCGACATCTGAGTGTGCTGGGGCGGTGTGGACAGGTCAGACGGACACGAACCATGTTGGCCGATAAATGTTGGCCTGGCTGACCGAATGTCCTATAACAGAACAGCTGGTGACCAGTCAGGCCCCTATATTATTCGAATGTGCGACCTCAACTGGGACATGTTGGCCCTATGTTCACGTTGGTAATGGGTACTCTCAGTGTTCCGACGGCGTTTCTGCTTCAGTAAACGAGGTGTTCAGCAGATCGCTAGATCCCACAGCGTCCAACCAAGTTAATCTGTGCTCTGAAAGCCGGCGAACGGTGTGGACGTTTTCGCAGACGTTAGCCCGTGGTACTTCCGGTCGGCTCACTTGACTCTTCGCCTTAGCTCCTCGTGCCGGGCTAGCCTCAACTACGGCCTCCTCAGATTTGACAACAGTACACGCAGACGTACTCGCGGGCACACCATGTGGCAATCTATGCGCCGATTTATCGATTGCCACGCGTCATTTGCGGACTGCAAAAGCAGCAGTTGTGGCGTTTTGGCCCTCTCGCCGCACATGTGCGCAGACCTGCTGGCATGCATTGGCATATATGATCGCGTCGGATTTTTGCATAAAGTCCGCCCTTTGCGTCATTAGTTAGCAGTATATACACAGCGGGTAATCTGTAATTGCAGTGATCAATAGTGGTCGTGAAAGCAAGTTTCTGATGTTTCCAGTACAGGCCTTCTGAATGTCTGAATTATTTGGGGACTTTGCTAACATATATTACATGAAACCAGCTAACAACACATCCTAGACTTGTAAACTGGCATATGCACGTGCGCAACTTACTAAACACTGACTAATTTGTGATCCCAGGCGACCGGCAAAATAGCGTTACTTTAACCTTGGCAACCCACAAAATCCTAATTTGGGATTGACATCTGCCATAGCATGCGAGCTTCAGATAGAAGCTACAGAAATATTCGCTTTTCCTTTTCTCATCAAAACTCTTGTGTTGTTCTATTTTAGCTACAGTTGTGCGTACGTTCGGCCGATCATACCCACGCCCCCTTTGTTGATCGGTCCTCACCTTTTATGCACCAGCTGCCGTCGTCATCTACTAACTATGCTGGCACACTTCGGTGGAAATGGAGATTCATAGTAGTTTTTCATGTCAACCAGATAATTTTGTCGGTCGTCGTTCTTTCCATGAAAACGTCAAATATCTCATAGTAAGAACGCTTTGGTAGGGAGAGATTGTGTAATCCCACTGGTTTTAATATATATAACTAACTATTATATTTGTTTTAGCGAGTCTTTTTTAGATTATCAACTCATAACTACAGGATGTCGCCCTTTAAGTTTTGCCTAGCACACTGATATAACCACGTGAACCGAGTCGTTCCAGTGTGATTTTCTGGATATATTATGAGGCATTAGGCAGCCTTCGGTTTTTACTCCCCCTCGCCGTTACTCGTTCCTTTCAACAGGGTGGCCATGCATTCTTGCGTCATGTCGGCACTCACCATACAACGGCTCCTCTAAGGGTCGTTTACTGCCCTTTGATTTACTTTGGCCCGGTTAGCACATAAGCACTCAATTTCCATGGCATCTGCAAACGCTTTCTTTTGTCAAACGCCTATGCCATGGCTTACCTGCTTCTTCAAGTATATTTGTGCGTAGTCCCCCTCATGACATGTAATAAGGCAGCTAAATCCCGTTGAGTTTGCATACAAAAATTTACTTACAAATGGTCGTCAAATTAAGTTTAAAGACCTGCACACTCTCCTGGCGACTGTGTTGAGGGTGGACAAGATGACTATCCTTTTTGACTTTAATGCTCGCGTCGGGACAGACTAGGCTGTTTGTGATGCAGGACGCTTGGGTAGATTGCAAGACCGAGAAAATCCAACGGTTTCCGGGCTGATATGAAAGGGAAAACTTTTCCGCATCCATCAAAACAGTCCACGGCCCCACAATCAAAGAGACCGCACCGCTACTCCTCGGAGAGAAGTCGCAGGTTCTCAGGCAGTGGGCTGAGCACTTTAGAAGCGCCCCGAACTATCCGTCCACAATTTGCAACGCCTCAATCGATCGACTCCATCAAGTGGGAACCAATACCGACTTAGACCGTTCGCATGGGGAGGAGGGGAGGGGGGGGGGAACAGTAAGGTAATAGTGGATAGTTAGACAATGTTCTAATAAGATTCGTCCTGAAAACGTTTGACAGGTTTGCGGATTCGGGTCGATCTTCGCAGGGCGGTATTTTCTACCTCCGCGCCGCTTTGTGCAGTCACTGGCTTGTTCTTCGCTGACTACAATCAACAAGTTGCGAACCGTTTTCTCTACTTTTGGGATACCTGAAATGCTCGTTTCAGACAATGGCCCGGCCTTTACTAATGCAGAATTTAAAGATTTCATGGAGAAAAATGGAATTAGACATTTAACTACTGCCCCGTACCACGCTGCTTCTAATGGCCTCGCAGAGCGTGCAGTACAGGCAATAAAGCACGGAATAGCCCAACTGACGGAAGTGGACTTGGCCACCAAGTTGTCACGCTTTCTGTTCAGCTATCGCATAGCACCAAACGACTCAACTGGTGTTTAACCTGCAGAATTGATGTTCAAGCGGCAGTTGCGCACACTACTCGAACTGCTTAATCCATCAACGCATGATAGTAATTGCAAAACAGACGAAAATGAAAGCACGATATGATGTGAACACCCGACCACGAGTCGTCGAGCCTAACGAACGTGTCTACACGAGACTGGAACACGAAACGAACTGGTGTCCAGCGGTAGTTCGAACAAGCGAGGGGCAAATAGTAGAATTAGAGTAAGAAGATGGCAGAATTGTGCGTGGGCATCTGGACCAAGTTCGCAGCCGAACGGACACAGTAAGTGGGGAGTTCGGAAAGTTCGAACTGTCAGCAACTCTTGATACGGATCCTGACATACCGAGGACTGAACACCTACTGCCTGCACAGAGCACTACGCCACCGAC